TATATATATATATATATTACCAGGGATATATATTCTCAATGCAATGCTTGAATCTGGAGTTAGGCTGCAAAGTATTAATTCATGCTGTGTCTACCCAGCAGTCAAACTCAACAGTAGTGTGTGCGATTGACACATGTTTAAAAGAGAACTATGGGGTAAGTGTTTTTCCCCATAGTTCTCCTAAGGGTCACGGGAGGACACAAACTAGCGTCTTTCCGTGACCCAAAGCTCAGTACATCGCAAGCTACAGCTTGCGGTATACTGACACTGCCACAGCCGGGACGGATCCCGACATTACTGTCGAGATCCACCCAGCTGCGTGAGTGACAGCTGGCTCTGCCTATCTAGTCACGGCTCTCTGCAGGGAGATGACCGAGAAGTGAGCGAGCGACTGTATGTGTTCGATCACTTCCCGATCTATTGAGCCGACCTCTGACAGTTTCATTGTCACACGTCGGCTCCAACTATGACGCTGAGTGATTTTCACTCACCTCATAGTTCTCCTTTTAATACGGTTTCCATTTACGGCTAGTTATTCTTATTTCACCAAATAGTCCAAGCCTCAAATTATTTTGCACATATGCTTATGCTAAACAGATTGTTTTGCAGCTTTTCCATGTGTTCCACAAAATTGATTTCTTGCCATAAAAAAGTAGACGCGATGTTGGTGAGTACTCGTTCTCATTCAACCAATAAACCTGATATTAATTGAAAGATATAATAAAGAAAAGGTTTGTTTTTTATCCAAAGGAATTGGCATTTTTTGTTCTCGCTGAATAGAGAAGGTTTTTCTCACACTGTGTTTGTGCGGTTTTTTTATTTTGTTGTTTTTTGGTGCAGGTCTACTATATCATTTAATGTCGTTCTTGATATAGAAACTTTTACAACTTCAATTTGCAGTCCACACAGTTACTACTTCATTGATTGATTTTTTATTTTTTTTCTCCTCATTCCTCCCTAAACGTCAACAGTAGACATGGAAGCCCTACAGCTCAGATAACAAATGAAAACCCTTCCTGTCTTAGAGCAACAGAAGCAGTCAATGCAAATATAAAAAATGATGCTTTAAAATGTGTTTCTGCCCCACAGAGGTGTACGTCTCCACCGTGAAAAGTGATGGTCAATTAAGACCCTTCAGAGTTGACGTGGATGAGATATACTGTTCCAGTAACACTTTTAATGTAACAAAGCCGATATTGGAAATTTGTATCTGCACCCAGCTTCTGTTAATTCCAGTTTATCTATGGATTAATTTTAAGATCTATGAATAACCTTGGTTTTGGTGTATACACAATTCTTTATGAGGGGAACAATTCCCGTCAGCCTCCTAAACAACATATAGCTTATTATAAAATTGTATTGTTATATGACTCGGGTACAGAGCGTGTTGTCATGAGGGACATTTAACTCAGTGGTGTGCTCTTTATATTTGAAAGGCCATTTTCAACCACATCTGGTTGTGTGTAGACACCAGTGGGGTAACACTGTGGTTAGCTCTTTATTAGTACTAGATTTTTTCTTTCAGCTTAAAGGTTTTTAAAAAAATGTTTTTGCACATATCTCATGCTAGCAAGCAGTAGATATATGCAAAAACATTAAAAAAAAAAAAAAACCTTTTAAAAAGGCTTTAAACGTACCTGTGTCTTCGCCACGCGCTCCCGTCCGAACATCTGAAGAGTCTCGGGCAGCCGCAAAGGATCTTGGGGCGGGCGCATGCACACTTCAGATGTTTAGCTGGGAGATGAGAGACACCAGGTAAGTCTATGGAGCAGCGTGCACCCACACAGACTCCGTGGGACATCAGGGGAGAGGACATCAGAGGAGTCAGCGCTGGATCGGAGACCCGCACCAGAGCTAGAGGGACAGCTGAAAACTACACTGAAGAAGATGATCGAATAAAGAGACATGATTTAAGGTCCTTACAGCAAGATTGGGAAGGGGGAAAAAAAATTCTGACTTTAATGTCACTTTAACTACCTCATTTTCTTTTGTATTTCATTATGGGAAATCTTTTTTTACAAAACATCAATATTAATCTTTAAAACGACCTTTGAAGTTTGACATAATTAGGAATTCTGGCAGGGATATCTTAACACCAAAAGTCCCTGACCGTAATAAGGGAGGTTGTGATTCAGTTTGGTTTTAGATAGAATTATCATATATTTGTCTGTGGTTATTGCCAATCTATTGCAGCTTACCAGTGCTTGGATGAAGTGGCTGCATATGTAAATACAGAAAAATATCTGCTAGAACTCTTGTGTCCTTGTACCCTCCTGTGTACTGAACTTAATTCTAAACATTGTTACCCAC